GCACGACACAGAGGAGCTAGTTGATGGGAGTCGCCGAGAAAGCTGCAAGATGAGGGTTTGTGGAAGAAACTAATTGGGTAAAAAATGGCTGAGGAGAGAGATAGAGGGGAGACTTGTGGATTGTAAGTCTAGGTCGGCAACTTTATTAGAGATATGCTCGAGTGTATTGAAGCAGGTCATGGAGGTCGAGGAACAAGAGAATATTCGTCGCTGGTGAAGTGGCGGCAGAATCCGATAGTGATAAGGGCATCCGAAATACGCGGAGAGCCTTGAATTGCGGATCTAGAAAATAAAGTTAGGGGGGGCTAGAACAGCTAAAGAACCGAATTGTGTTCGTATGGTTTGTGAAAACTCAAGTTCAGCTCGCTAATGTAGTCAAATTATAACAATTATTCGAGCTTATTTTTATAATAAGTTTACTCCGACTGGGCTTATTATATGAGCCGATCAAGTTTACATTTCTCTTCGGTTAATAAATGGTCCAGCTGAGTCGCCTCATTTATTAAATGAGCACGAGCTTGAATATGAGGTATTTGACTTGACTCGGGCGGAATGATATCTCTAGAGGATTATATAATTTTTAATATCTCTCTTTCTCTCATTTATTTTAATGTAATTCTATAGTTTAAAAAAACTTACAGAGATTAATTATAAACATAAATGAATATAAGCGAAATTCTACAAATTTATGCCTCTACTTAACCAGATATACAAAAAATTGAATGTCATTATAATATTAAGTAGAATATATAAGTAAATATCATATTTAAAAATAATTAAACTATTAATTATAATCATTAAAAATATGTGTAATTGTATATAGTAAATGCCCTATTAGTTATTAATTTGTTATACAACTGTTTTTATAATTTCACCATAAGAATATTGATAATTTTATGTAAGTATATTTTAATTATAAAACACTTTTTCAAGCTAGTATACATGTTTCATAATAATATATATCATAAGAGATTGTAGAAAAATACTGACAAAAATATGTAGTTGAAATTAGTTAGTTAACACAAGAATACAATACCTTGTAATAATACATTTTATGTATATTTTATTATATATTACTAAAACTATTAATGTTGTGTACAAAGAAATTTTTCAAAATTTGAAATAATATCGACTTTGTTATTTTCTATTTTTGTACTTTTATATGACAACATGTGTTTTTTCTATTATTTTATGTTTTATATTTTTTTTCAAACAACCCGTGTAGTACACGGGTGTCGTACTGGTATATATATATTACAAAAACTTAAATATTTGGGGGGGCAATTGCCCCCCCTAGCCACAACGTGCATCCGCCCCTGGCCTTGAAATGTTTTTGCAGGACGAAGCATTATATGAGCTCATGCATATTCATAATGTGAATTGGGAATGAAATATTTAAAGATACAGATTTTACGTGAATCATTTATTTATATAAAATAAACAAAAAATCCGTGGACAAAAAAAAAAAAAAGGGTGTGGACAAATCTAAAACGCGCGGATTCTGAAAATCCGCGTTTGACTAGTCTTCAGAAGAACACGGATTCTGAAAATCCGTGTTTGACTAATTTTGACCTAAACACGGATTTTCACAATCCGTGTTTCTTTAATGACATGATTATTGTTAATTAAGTAAGATTAAAACGGATTTTGAAACGAAACACGGATTTTGAAAATCCGTGTATAGATAATTTATTTATTTATTTATTTTTAATTAACACGGATTTTGAAAATCCGTGTTTTATGTATTTTTCATTTTTTTTTTGTTAAGCTCGACTCTTTGATGTTCACGAACTTGTTTACCAGCAATTGCGTTTATTTTAGCTGAATTTTTTATTCTTATCCTTCAATATAAAGGTTTTTTATAAATTTTGATTTAATATTTTGAACATGAAATAATATATCTTTAATATCAATTCATTCGTCAAATTATAAATCTACCCCCTACCATTCATACATACATACACAAAATACTATATAATAAAAGTCAACCACCATTACCGATAAAAAAAAATGAACCACAAAAAATGTATACAAAACCATCAAAAATAAATATCTGAAAATCGAGTACAAAAAATAAAAAAAAAAAAAAATATCCACAAAATCACAAAATACCAAACAAACTAACTAACTAGGAGTAAATGGAACCTTAGCCCTACGATTTCGGGACCCTCTCCGAGGCCCCCGTATCGAAGAAGACGATCCTGCAGTCGGTCCAGGCGTGGCTAGTTCTTCTTCTTGTCCACCTTATTAATTAATTTTTGTAAAAAATCAGTAATTCGACCGGACAAATAAATAAAAACAAACACAAAAAATATATATTTGTAGTTAAATAAAAAAATCTCACCTTCTTCGTCTTCTTCATTCCCGGGGAATGCAGCGGCGGGTTCGCGGTCACGGCGTCTTCTCCCCCCACCAATATGGGACGTCGGTCTATGTCTCGCCCGCTGGGACTGTGTCTGCTGGGGTGGGGCGTACTCCTCTTGAGATAAAATTTGTTCCGACGACGCCCCTTGTGTGACCGGATGACCCCCAACAGTCAGAGAAGCGTACAGAAGTTCCTGGGCTTGCTGGAACTGTGTCTGCGCTCGGGGAGGTAGCGTATCAAAGTCTTCAATGTTGGATAGCATGTTATACGCCCCCTCCGTACCCGAAGTCTGAAAATAAAATTCAAATATCTATTACCCAAATCCTAAAGGTTCAATCCCCGTCGAATTGAGTCGCCTTCCTCGGCAAAAGGGCGGCGCCGGCCGGCGGACGACCTCAACCGTCACCCCGCCTCTGTGTCCCGGTCATTCAGCGCTTCGCGGCTTGCCTTTGGAATCGGACTGGTTCGGCCTTGGTTTGCCGGTCTAGTGGCAGCGTTAGGAGGCGGCGAGCCCATGGTCGTCGTTCGGCTTGCAGGTGACCGCCGGCCTTCGATTGGAGGTGAGTATGCTGTCCTTTTCCCCCGTTCCTGTTTCGATTTCTGATTTTATGCGAGAATGGAGGGCCAACGGAGGGCCATCTCGAGCGGTCCTGTTTTCGGCAGATCTCCGTTCGGGGTTGACGAGTCCGGTCGCCGGTGGTCTGCGGTTCTATTGGCTGGGTCGTGGGTTGAGAGGCGGGGTGGGGCTCTGACGGGAGTCGGACCTGAGGGCCCGAACAGTCCCCCGTTTGGTCTAGTGGTGTTAGACGGCGGAAATCTGGTGCTCTGATGCTCGACTAGTGGTGTTAGGCGTGCTCGGGAGGTGCTAGATTGGGTGCGTGTTTGGTTGCCTTTTCGGTTGAGGCGGGTTGTTTTGGAGTGTGATTTGTGTTCGGGCTCGACTTCTTGTATAGGCCTTGTGGCAGTTTCGGGAGCCGTCCCTGGACTTAGATTATCCTCTGATATAGACTGTCCTCCGCTGGTTCGAGCTGACCGAATTGCTGTGGAAGGGCTTGTTAATATAGCTGTGTTTTCATTTTCTAGTTTTGTTGTAGATTGGTATGTTGTTCTAGTGTGTTAGTTTCTATGTTTGTGTTTGTCGTTGTGTTTTAGGTCTGGGCCGTTGGCCTCTGTGAACCCGAGTGTCATTTTCATTACTCTGTTGGGGTCCGACACTCGGGAATTACCCTGTTGGGGTCTTGTGTTGTTTTTTTGTCGTTGTTTTGTGTGTTTGTTTTGAGTGTGTTGCCGAGTATTCTAGCTTTGCTAGTTTTCGGATCTAGGCGGTCTTCGGACCTGTCCTCCCAGTTTTCTCAGTCGTCGGTTGTATTATTCAGCTAGTGGCTGTACCTTTGCACATTTGTGCGTTTATATATAAATCCTCTATCGTTTCGACCAAAAAAAA